AGATCACCAGCCCAGGTTAGGTGCATGAGACAAGTGCTCGGGCCTGGTGCACTGAGAAGACCCAGAGGAATCGGGTGGAGAGGGAGTTGGGAGGGGGGATCGGGATGGGGAATACATGTAACTCCATGGCTGATTCATGTCAATGTATGATAAAACCCACTACAATATTGTAAAGTAATTAGCCTCCAACTAATAAAAATAAATGGAAAAAATAAAAATAAAAAGCAGAAACATCATTTTGCTGACAAAGTCCACATAGTCAGTGCTGTGGCTTTTCCAGTAGTCATGTAATGATGTGAGAGTTGGACCATAAAGACTGAGCACCAAAGAACTGAAGTTTTCAAATCGTGGTGCTGGAAAAGACTCTTGAGTCTCCCTTGGACTGCAAGGAGATCAAACAAGTCAATCTGAAAGAAAATCAAACCTGACTATCCATTGGAATGACTGATGCTGAAGCTGGAACTCCAATACTTTGTCCACCTGAAACAAAGAGCCAACTCACTGGAAAAGACCCTGATGCTGAGAAAGACTGAGTGCAGGAGGAGAAGGGGTGGCAAAAGCTGAGATGGTTAGATAGCATCATCAACTCAACAGACATGAATTTGAGCAAACTCTGGGAAACAGTGAAGGACAGAGGAGCCTGGTGTGCCACAATCCATGAAGATTCAGAGAGTCAGACAAGACCTAGAGACTGAAAAACAACAAAGTAGTAACTTTAGAATGATGTTCTTGAGTTCTCAGAAGGAGAGTCACAGAGCCGGAAGTCCTGAAGGCAGTGTCCTTGACCGATGTGAATGAGTGGTTAATTTGCTCTGTAAATGAGATCTGAGCCTTTCTGAAAGGTTGCAGATAATATTGCAGGAAGGCTTTCTGATACAGTGAGTTTTTCTGTAGATAACTGTGCCTTTGCAGGGTGACTTGGCAGATTCGTTTCTTTTCCTGGCGTAATAATGGATATATTCCAGAAAGGGGCCTGTATCCAGAGTTGGCAATTTGGGACACGTGTGTGTCTATATGGTGAGGCAGAATGACTCCAGCTGGGCTTGGCAGGAGAGAGGGAGTAGTTGTAGGGATAAAAAGATCCCCTCTCGGTATTGGGAGCAACGTTTCTGGTTTCCTCAGACAATAATTTGGAAAGCAAACTGGAGACAAATGAGTCCTCACAAGGTAGCTTTTGGTAGACCTTCCAGAGACAGAGGAGAAGGGTCAGAGACAAGGAGATGGAAGTGGCAGCAAACTGGAGTAGGGGCTGGGAAGAGGGCGATCTTGCTGGAAGGCAGGCTTCCCTTTGGCTTGGTAAGGACTGGAAAATAACATGTGACCCTTCAAAATATCACTCAGTTTAGAACCTTTCAATAACCTTTCAATAACCTTCTCCAGTGTCAGCCACGAAGGTAAGAGATTAGTATGCTGTGACAGGAAAAATATCAGCCCTGAACTCACCAGTCAGAACAAAAACAGAGGAAATGGAAGAGCTGAAAGAGAAGGCTGTCCATCAGGAAGGGTGAAGAGGAAGCAAAGAGCATGACCGCAGCAGGAGCGTAGGTACCTGCAAAGGAACAGAAGCTCTCAAGCAATGCACTTGCCTCCTCATATGGATGCTTAACTTGACATGTATCAAGGAGAATTCCTAATTTCCTTCCCTAAAAGCTGCTCTCCTGCAATCTTTTCTCAGTTAGAAACAGCTGTTTCAGAAAAAAATAAAAAAATAAAATCCAGCTGTTTCATCCATTTGTTTAAAAATTAACTGGGGATTCATTCCGGACAACTCATCCCCCATACTTCCACATTAGCAAGTCCATTTGGCTGGGCCATCAAAGTGTACCCCAAATGTGAGTCCACCCATAAGATCCACCACAGGAATCTGGTGCAAGAGGTGTCTGTTCTCTCCTAGAGGGGTTCACAGCCTTCCAGCTGGTCTCCGTAACATTCTTGCCTTCCACCACATCCCATGTCAATTCTCCACTCAACAACTGCAATGACCTTGAAAAAACACAAATTAGATCATACCACTTTCTTGCATAAGCACTCCCAGTTTTCCCCTTACAGGTGTAGTCAGGTATACATTTCGTACCTTAACTTTCAATAGCCATATTGTCAGTGACAGAAAAAGAGGCTCCAAAAGGGACACAATATGACCGTTGTTCCATCTAATCCTCCAACTCTAGGAAGTCAAACTGACAGAAATTGACAGAATTACCCTTGGTTGTTTCACAAAACATGTGTTCTTTTTTTAAAATTTATCTTTTATTGAAGGATAAATGTTTCCCAGAATTTTGTTGTTCTCTGTCAAGCCTCAACATTAATCAGCCACAGGTATACATATGTCCCCTCCCTTTTGAACTTCCCTCCCATCTCCCTCCCCATCCCACCCCTCTAGGTGGATACAGACCCCTGTTTGAGTGTCCTGAACCATACAGGAAATTCCCTTTGGCTATTTATTTTACATGTGGTAATGTAAGTTTCCATGTTACTCTTTCCACACATCTCACTCTCTCCTCCCTTCCCCCATGTCCATAAGTCTTTTCTGTATATATGATTCTCCATTGCTGTCCTGCAAATAAATTCTTCAGTACCAGTTTTCTAGATTCCATATATATGTCTTAGAATGCAATATTATCTTTCTCTTTCTGACTTACTTCACTCTGTATAATAGGTTCTAGGTTCATTCAGCTCATTAAAATGACTCAAATACATTCTTTTTATGGCTGGGTAATAATCCATTGTCTACATGTACCACTACTTCTTTATCCATTCATCTCTCAATGGACATCTAGGTTGCTTCCATGTTCTAGCTATTGTAAATAGTGCTGCACTCAACAATTGAATACTTGTGTCTTTTTCAATTTTGGTTTCCTCTGGGCATTTGCCTAGGAGTGGGATTTCTAGATCATAAGGTGGTTTTATTCCTAGTTTTTTAAGGACTCTCCATACCATCCTCCATGGTGGCTGTATCCATGTACATTCCCACCAACAGTGCAAGAGTGTTTCCTTTTGTCCACAACCCTCTCCAGCATTTATTGTTTGTAGAATTTTTGATGATGGCCATTCTGACTGGTGTGTAGTGATGTCACATTTTGGTTTTGATGTGCATTTCTCTAATAATGAGAAATGTTGAGCATCTTTTCATGTGTTTGTTAGCTATCTGTATGTCTTCCTTGGGAGAAACATCTGTTTAGGTCTTTTTCCCACTTTGATTGGGTTGTTTGTTTTTCTGGTTTGAGTTGTATGAGCTGCTTGTATATTTTGGAAATTAATCCTTGGTCAGTTGTTTCGTTTCCTATTATTTTCTCCTATTCTGAGGGTTGCCCTTTCACCTTGCTTAGAGTTTCCTTTGCTGTGCAAATGCTTTTAAGTTTAATTAGGTCCCACTTGTTTATATTTCTTTTTATTTCCATTACTCTAGGAGGTGGGACATAGAGAATCTTGCTGTGATTTGTCATCAAGTGTTCTGTGCTTTCCACTAAAAGTTTTATAATTTCTGTCTTACATTTAGGTCTTTAATCCATTTTGAATTTGTCTTTGTGTATGGTGTTAGGAAGTGTTCTAATTTCACTGTTGAATATGTAGCTGTAAAGTTTCCCTGCTCCATTTATTGAAGAGGCTGTCTTTGCACCATTGTATATTCTTGCCTCCTTTGTCAAAAATAAGGTTGCTGTGGGTACATGAGTTTATAACTGGGCTTTCTGTCTTGTTCCATTGGTCTACATTTCCATTTTTGTGCCAGTACCATCCTGTCTTTGTATTGTAACAGTGTGTACCGTACTGTCTTCATACTTCATATTGTAGCTTGGTAGGATAATCTGAAGTCGGGAAGGTTGTTTCTCCAGCTCCTCTCTTCTTTCTCAAGACTTCCTTGGCTATTTGGAGTCTTTTGTGTTTCCATAAGAATTGTGAAATTTTTGTTCTACTTCTGTGGAAAACATCATTGGCAATTTTTCAGGGATCACATTGAATTTATATATTGCATTTTGTACTATAATCATTTTCATTTTCAGAATATTGCTTCTTCCTACCCAGAAACATGGAATAGCTCATCTATTGATGTCTTCTTTGATTTCTTTCATTAGTGTCTTAAAATTTTCTACGTATAGTTCTTTTGTCTCTTTAGGTAAGTCTCATCCTAGATATTTCATTAGTTTGGTGCCATGGTGAAATGGGATTGATTCCTTAATTGCTCTTTCTGATTTTTTATTGTGAGTATATAGAAATGCAAGTGATTTTGGTGTATTGATTTTGTATCATGAAACTTTTCTAAATTCACTGATTAGCTCTTATAATTTTCTGATACTATCTTTAGGGTTTTCAATGTACACTATCATGTCATCTTCAAACAGTGAGAGCTTTACATCTACTTTTCTGATATGGATACTTTTTATCTCTTTTTCTTCTCTGACTGCTGTAGCTAGGACTTCCAGAACTATGTTGAATAATAGTCATGAAAGTGGACATGCTTTCAGTATCTGGTGGCCTGAAAAGGCTGAGGGTCAGACATCTACCATTCATGTGTGCCCATGGATGTTATCCACATATCTTTCATAAATAAACTGAAATGATCTCAATAATCAAAATGATTTGCAATGCATCATATACATAGGAGAAAAATATCATGAATGATGTAGTTTGCGCCATGTGAAAGCCAAAGATCACAGTTAAAACACACACAAATGACAAGTGGAAGGACAAAGAAATGCATTCACTGAAAAGACTGAAAATCAGATGGCGACAGAGCAGTTCTAATATCTGTGCTGAGTGCTTGGACATTCTCCCTCAGAAGCTTTGCCCACGTCACACGTTGTACCTTTTACAAATGACACACTCGTAACGTTGTACCTGCTCCATCCGGCTGGGATAAGTCCCAACTATAACTGTGTCTCTCTGGTGACAAGATCTGCCCAGTATAGAACTCAAAGACACCATTGTTCTGGTCCCCTTCGTAAAGGAAGCTGCCCGGTTCCTCCCAGGACAGAGCTGAGAGCAAATCCAGAGCTTCTTCCAAGATGCTGCTGATCCTGCTCTCAGTGGCCTTGCTGGCCCTGAGCTCAGCTCAAGACCCAGTTTCTGGGAAGAATAAAGTTGGGGGGAAAGGGTGCTGAGACTCTGCTTGGGGCTTGGAGGATAACACTGCCGTGAGGAAGCTTGTAAGGAGGAGACATAAGTGAAAGATGTGGATGCAGGCTGTTTAAGACAAGAGGAAGTTCCTTCACCTCCTCTGTGATGTGAAGGCCTCAAACTTAGCACAACTGGAAACCAACACAGAATTTTTAAGCAGAGGAATGACAAATTAAGACTTATCTCTGTGCTATGAAAGGTATGCTACAAAAATGCAAGACTGGCACAGACAAGTTCCCTCATGAAAATGCTATAATAATCAAAGGAGGCAGTGGATTGAACGTGGCCTTGCTAGGGGATGCCTGATGGGTGGAGGAGGTGAAGCCCATTCAGAGCTATTTCAGGGACAGAGACAAGAGTAATAAATCTCTCTGTGTCAACCTAGAGATATGGAGATTCCAGGGCACAGTGGTCCCATTCTTCTCTACCCATGGTTAATATTTCAGAATGTTTGCCCAATATTGGCAGGATTATATCCACGTCTTTACTCGTGGTCCTTTTACCCTGAGAAACCATGTTAATATAAGTAAAGTACTTCATAAATTAAAAGGGCAAAAGGACTCTAAAACTTCACACTGAAATATTCCAGCATTTAACTTAAATTAGCATGAGAGTTGAGGGATCCTAAGAAGGACAAAATGGCCTCTCCTCTTTTGAGTTTCTGGTTGATTCTCAACACCCAGAAACAGGCCACCATGCTTTCATGTCTTCCTCCTTTTGCAACAGCATCAAGATGGCAGTCAAAAAGTTGTAATATCTTAGAGGATACACAGAGTGTGTCCCTTTTCCTGTAGAACATTGTGAGCCCTGAAGGATACAGGCTCATCTTCTGCTTCTTTTCCTAGAAAGCAGCAGTAAAGAGTCTCCGACCACCGTATTAGGTAAGTCGCAATTAATCCTCCATCATCTTTCTTTCTTTCATTAACAACTTTTCAGTTCTCTGGTGTCCTGTTATCATCATTATCTTATGAATAATTATCATCAGTACTAGAAACACTAAAGATCAAGGCCATCCTTTCTAACCTTGGTCATAGGGACCACGAGCAAGGCCATAACATGAATAACATGATGTCTTGCCTGGATGACACTGGATATGCTGCCTGCTTCCTCAGGCCAGAAACGATGGTTAAGAGATGACAACAAAGGGAAGGAGTCACAGTTCTGACTCCTGCAGCTTACTGAGAGCCAATCACTCAACTACTGCCTTCATCCTCAGTATTCTCTTTCGATATGTCATTTAGAAAACCTGCAAAGAAGCTAGGTCTGGTTCATTTTTGCTCTCGTTTTCTGCTCAGATATGTCACAGTACCTAATTAAAATTTGCAACCTATTTAGTGACTCCTGTTGGGCCATCATGTTGTCTCTCTCTCCCACTCCCTCTCTCTCTCTGTCTCACTACTGCTCCACACAGTTTTAGACCCAGAGGGTTCCACATATACTCTCAACAGGCCATACGTGGAGTCATAGTGGGCAGGTTATGTCAATGACCGAAAATATAACTGGCAAGCATAACTAACATGATTAAGCCCTTTGCTTTACTTCTATCCTTGGAGACATCCTCTGGTGAGTCTAAGCTATCCAGCACCTTCTTTTACCAAAGTGGAGTCACTCTTTTTCTCAAGAGCAAAGAACTAAGACTCAGTTTCACTAGTATGTGGGTACTGCAAAAAGACAAAGTGTTTAGGAAGGAAGCTAGTAGTTGAGAGGAGTACTGCAGAAAGAAGTGAGTAGGAAGGAAGCTAGTACTTGAAAGTCGGTTCTGGAGGAAGAAACTGTCCGAAAAGTTTATCAGAGATCAAAATGAGAGCGGAAACTTCCATCACCTACTTCCTCTCTCTTTTAAACAAACTCAAATTCAAACTCAGATGACTTCCCCAAACCACCTCCTGGAGGACATGGAGGGCCACCACCTAGACCCCCTCTGAATGATGAAGGTGAAGGTGAGGAACCTCCACCAGGGACACCTCCACCAGGACCACCTCCATCAGGACCACCTCCACCAGGACCACCTCCACCAGGACCACCTGCATCAGGACCACCTCACCAGGGCCACCACCACCAGGGCCACCCCCACCAGGACCACCTGCATCAGCACCACCTCCACCAGGGCCACCCCCACCAGGACCACCTGCATCAGCACCACCACCACCAGGGCCACCCCCACCAGGATCACCTCCATCAGCACCACCTCCACAAAGACCACCCCCACCAGAACCACCTCCACCAGAAGAGCAACCTGAGGAGAGTCCAGAAGAAGAATCACCATCCGAGTAATCTGAGGGTCATTGACAGGTATGACTCCAGCTCACTCTCCATCAAGGGCCCTAACCCTACAGGTCTCACACTTTAGTGAGTCACTGAATCAACAGAAAATATGTGAAAATTGCATAGTCCTGGACCCAAGTTCTAAAGGTGTCTATTCAGATAGTCTGAAATAAGGTAGCAAAACTTTACAGTTATTATGAGCTATCCAAGAGTATTCCTTTTGAGAAACAAGGATCATACATCACTTTATTCCTGATGACCACCTGTCCTAAAGTGGGTTGGTGATGAGGCAGTGCACCATGTTCTCCCTGGTCCTTTTCTCTCCTCCTCCTCCAGCTCAATGACCTCTCTTCTCAGGTTAGAACCTGACCAGGCCTCTCAGGTGCAATGTCCATACTAAATGATAACTTTAATTTAGGTTGCTAAATTTATCTAGCTAAAATGTATCTTTTTCAATTAGTATATGGTCAAGGTAAAAAAAAATAACTGAACAGAAACGTATGAGGCTAACTCTTAAAGGCATCCACATCCTACCTTCCCACTTCCTTTCCCAAAGGTCACCACAGTTAACTCTTGAACATCCTCTTGGAAACACTTACACCCTTAAACATAATTGTATTTTTTTATCCACAAATGATGTCATATTTTTGTGGATTTATAGGTTGCTCATTTCCAGTAACATAGATCTTAAAAATATCTGTAGCAGTTCATAGAGTTCTATGGGTCTGTTTAATCCTCATTTGTTTGCTTTTTAATTTGTGCTGTTCCATTGTCTGGCTGTGCCATGATATCTTTAACCAACACTGTATCAATGGACATTTAGGCCAGTTTCAGTTTTTCACTAGTTAAATATGGGTAGCAGTAACCATCTTTGTAAATATATATTTGAAGACTTTAAATAGCAACCAAGAGATAAACAAATTAAGAACAACCTTTTATATTGCAAGCAACAATTTAGAGCACATTGTCTATTAGGTGCATAAAAATGACAAATCAAAAGAAATTTGGAAGGAAACAGGAGAGGGAAGAAGAAGAGAAGGGGAATGCGGGCTCTTAGCTACCTCCCTGCACTGTTATCTGCAAGGGTTGGAAACCACCTGCCCACCTTGTAAGAACCTTCTCTTTTGCTTTTCAGAGCATGTGTATGAAGACAGCAGTCCTTCAGAAAGCCATGACATTGGAAGAAGGCAGTCTGTCTTCAGTTTACCAATAAAATAATCAGCATCCAGTTTCTAAGTGTCACGTCTCATTCTGGGTGTTTCTGAGCGTGAAATAAGAGGGCCATTAGCATCCAAGATCAGTTCTCACTGATGCTTCCAGCAGCCTTCCTCCCGGACTGTCTTCTTAGAAGCCATGGTCTCTTTGTTCTTTGCTTGGGGACCAGAATGTGTATCTCCTTTCTACCTCCTGGTGCCTCCCCCTTTCACCTGACACCTTTATTCAGAAGTCAGGTGCCTTTCTTGTCCTTCCCTCATTTCTATAAACACTAATGCAATGTTTTTATTATTTTCACACCTTTCTAACAATTTTAGGGAAATAAAGAAACTATTGCAAATGTGAAGAAGTGGCAAGAGCTGAGGGAATCCTGAAAATTTCCAAAAGAATTGATCCTGGTTTCAAGGAAAATAAATGTGATTCTAGGTCCCTATTCCCTCAAGGCCATTACCACATCCCACTCTTTTAAATCATTTCTCAGTTTTCTTTCTAGATCCCCCATCTTTCTATAACAAAATATGAGTCAGTTTCATAAAGGAGATAACATGTTGTTTCTAAAAAACAAGAAAAAGGTGGGGTTCTTCAGACATGAGTTTATCTTATCTGCTTTTATTAGCTCTGGACTTTGAGAAAGCTACTTCAACTCACAGACCTTAGTTTCCCTATCCATATAGTGAGGATCATATTGTTACCTGTCCTAGGGCACGAAGAATAGCAATTACCATACATAAACCCTAGCAGAGGAACTTTCCTGGTTGTCCAGTGGCTAAAACTTTAATCTCTGAATGCAGGGGACCTGGTTTGATCTGTGGTCAGAAAACTAGATCCCACATGCAGCAACTATAGATCTCCATACTGCAACTAAGACACAGCACAGACAAATAAATAAAAATAAATTTTCCTTTTAAACACTGGCAAAGATTGCCTTTGCCACTTCCTAGTAATTATTATAGGGGAGGATAATACATGAGAAATTGTAAGAAATTAAATATTTCCCAAACTAAACTGTTCATATTGCTTTCTCAGAAGGTCAAATTACAATATTTTCTGACAGTGCCTCTTCCAAATTGAAAATACAATGAAAAATGCTTTGCTTTCTGGTAGCACTTTCTGGTGTCTTTTCATCTGTGTGATACTATTTTTCATACTGACTCTGTCATGGTACATGAACAAATTCCACTCACTTCCATCTCTTGCAAAGTTGGAAAATATTCCTGAGTTAAAAGACACTCTTACAGTGAGCGTTAACAAAATCAATATTTAAAAAGAAACCCGACATTAAGGTTGTTGAGATCAAGTGAAAAAAAAGAATGTTTTGATTCCATCAAATGCTCCCCTACCTGGAAATCACATAGAATGAGAATCTGTCCAGATGTAAGAAGCCCATTCATGAACAGCTCTGGCAAAGACTGACAAATCTTATGCACTAGAAAGAGGGGATCTCAGGAGCATTCCTTCAGAACACTATTCATCCTAAATCCAGATCCAGTCACTATACTTCTGTGAGTGAATGCTGAGTATGATTTTATTTTCTTACCTACAAGTTCAGACTATTATGCAGAAAGAAGTTAACTGAAAGAAATATTTTATATAAACTGCTTCCTGAGTTATTCATTTTTAAATGTAATATAGAAGTTCTCACAGTGGATTGTAGCTTCAGACTATATTTCTGATTCTGATTTTGGCATCTATTGAAAGTAACAGAACCTTAAGCTTTCTGTCAGCAAAATGATAAATATGTTCTCTATTTTCAATAAAACAGAATGCATTTTATCATTTCATTTACATTTAACAAGTCTTTTCTGTCATATTTAGAAAAAAAACTGTCAAAACTACTGCTCCCCACCACCACCGCCCCCCACCCCCCGAAACACACACACTGGTGTAAGGTATTGTCAGAGGTTGCAGTGTGGGCACCAGTGATCACAGCAGGCTTTGGAGGTTTGGCAGCACTGGGATCTAGTACCACAAGACTCCCTCCTGGACCACTCAGTTCAGTTCAGTTGCTCAGTCACGTCCGACTCTTTGCGACCCCATGAATCGCAGCACTCCAGGCCTCCCTGTCCAAAACCAACTCCCAGAGATTACTCAAACTCATGCCCATCGAGTCGGTGATGCCATCCAGCCATCTCATGCTCTGTTGTCCCCTCCCCCTCCTGCCCCCAATCCCTCAAAGCATCAGGGTCTTTTCCAATAAGTCAACTCTTCGCATGAGGTGACCAAAGTACTGGAGTTTCCGCTTCAGCATCAGTCCTTCCAGTGAACACCCAAGACTGATCTCCTTTAGGATGGACTGGTTGGATCTCCTGCAGTCCAAGGGACTCTCAAGAGTCTTCTCCAACGCCACAGTTCAAAAGCATCAATTTTTCGGTGCTCAGCTTTCTTCACAGTCCAACTCTCACATCCATACATGGCCACTGGAGAAACCATAGCCTTGACCAGACAGACCTTTGCTGGCAAAGTAATGTCTCTGCTTTGTAACATGCTATCTAGGTTGGTCATAACTTTCCTTCCAAGGAGTAAGCGTCTTTTAATTTCACGGCTGCAGTCACCATCTGCAGTGATTTGGGATCCCAAAAAATAAAGTTTGACACTGTTTCCACTGTCTCCCCATCTATTTTTCATGAGTTGATGGGACCAGATGCCATGATCTTAGTTTTCTGAATGTTAAGCTTTAAGCCAACTTTTTCACTCTCCTCTTTCACTTTCATCAACAGGCTTTTTAGTTCCTCTTCACTCTCTGCCATAAGGGTGGTGTCATCTGCATATCTGAGGTTATTGATATTCCCCCTGGCAATCTTGATTCCAGCTTGTGCTTCTTCCAGCCCAGCGTTTCTCATGATGTACTCTGCATATAAGTTAAATAAGCAGAGTGACAATATACAGCCTTGACATACTCCTTTTCCTATTTGGAACCAGTCTGTTGTTCCAAGTCAAGTTCTATCTGTTGCTTCTTGACCTGCATACAGGTTTCTCAAGAGGCAGGTCAGGTGGTCTGGTATTCCCATCTCTTTCAGAATTTTCCACAGTTTATTGTGATCCACACAGTCAAAGGCTTTGGCATAGTCAATAAAGCAGGAATAGATGTTTTTCTGGAACTCTCTTGCTTTTTCGATGATCCAGCAGATATTGGCAATTTGATCTCTGGTTCCTCTGCCTTTTCTAAAACCAGCTTGAACATCTGGAAGTTCTCAGTTCACATATTGCTGAAGCCTGGCTTGGAGAATTTTGAGCATTTGTTTACTAGCATGTGAGATGAGTGCAATTGTGCGGTTGTGTGAGCATTCCTTGGGATTGCCTTTCTTAGGGATTGGAATGAAAACTGACCTTTTCCAGTCCTGTGGCAACTTCTGAGTCTTCCAAATTTGCTGGAATATTGAGTGCAGCACTTTGACAGCATCATCTTTCCAGAATTGAAATAGTTCAACTTTAATCCCATCACATCCACTAGCTTTGTTCGTAGTGATGCTTTCTAAGGCCCATTTGACTTCACATTCCAGGATGTCTGGCTCTAGGTCAGTGATCACACCATTGTGATTATCTGGTTTGTGAAGATCTTTTTTGTACAGTTCTTCTGTGTATTCTTGCCACCTCTTCTTAATATCTTCTGCTTCTGATAGGTCCATACCATTTCTGTCCTTTATCGAACCCATCTTTGCCTGAAATGTTACCTTGATATCTCTAATTTTCATGAAGAGATCTCCAGTTTTCCCCATTTTGTTGTTTTCCTCTACTTCTTTGTATTGATCGCTGAAGAAGGCTTTCTTATCTCTCCTGGCTATTCTTTGGAACTC